CCGCGCCAAGGTCTTAGGGGCTGCTTCGCACCCCGCCGGGTGGCACAACGTGTGCCGGACGAGATCCACGTCGAGGCCGAGGGACGTTTGAATTTCAATCCAATTGTGTAGGCAAGGCTCTCGGCCTTGTAGCAGGCGGCCTCGGCTTTAAGCCCTGGGCTTTATTATCACCCCCAAACTGTGCAGTAGGCCGCCGGAACCTTCCTTCTGTTATTTCTGTGCTCTCTCTCTCTCTCTCTCTCTCTCTCTCTCTCTCTCTCTCTCTCTCTCTTTCTAAGTTTCCCTGTCTCGCCCGTCGTCACCCGCCCTCCCACTTGCCACGTGGCTGCCGGCCCAAAGAGTCTTCAAGAGGAGAGGCAGGGGGTGAGGACCTTGGCGCCGACGGCGACGGTGCTGGAGGACGCCTCAATGTACCACATTTACGGCGTCGTTTCCTGGAGGGGAGGGGGTTGGTAGACGGGAGTGGGCCCCGGAAAGGGCCTCCGGTTTCCCTCCGGAAGAGCCGCGCCGGGCACCGAGCGGTTCACCGAGGCCGTCGCCTCTCTGCATGATGGGACCGGGCGCATATGTCGTCCAAACACAAAGTGGGGGATGCATAAATATTCTCCATAGCCGCACCAATCATCCCCGTCCCCGTCTTCCTTAATATGAAGGACTTATTCCACCAGGCCCCTTGTGCACGCAATGCCAACGACGGTGCTGCGCCCTTTTTTGCCTTATTTCGCCCTTCCGCTTTGTCTCGTTCTCCTGTCTCTCCGGCGCTTTTCCTTATTTAAACCTCTTAAAGGGCGCGTCACCTGGGAAAATTGCACCCTGCAGTGTGCAGCCAGCAGAGACCTGCGAAGGGGCGAAGGGCGGGCACCCGACCCGAGGTGCCCGTGACGTCGCGTCACTGCGGTGGCAGCAGCAGATTTGCGTTCGCCTCGTCTGCTACTGCTTCCTCATAGCTACCGCAGCGTCGTCACGGGCACCTCGGGTCACTGTAAAAATTAGTTGTTAAAAAACAGCTCAGTTGTTGACCAACAGCTCAGTTGTTCGAGAACAACAGAAGTTGTTGAAAAACAACTACGTTTGTTATCAATGCATTGTTGATATTGGACTATTGGGCACCATTTTGTTTTTTCTGACTTTTTTAATTACTGTTACTGGACAACTTTTGCTGTTATTTGACAAGCGAAGCTGTTGTACAACAACACGTGTCAGTTAAAAACTTAACAACGAATTTGTTATTAAGTGACAACATTTTTTTTTACAGTGACCCGCCCTTACGCAGGTCTCTGGCAGCCAAAACACACTTGCAAAAATAAAAGTTATTGTGATAGGTGTGTTTAAATGTAACGCTGCATTGGCGATTCACACATGCACGTTCACACACGCACACACGCACCTAAGCACACACGCACCCACGCACGACGACTCTGATTCAATGAAACAGGTGTCCGGGCCGATGATGTAGCGTCGACCCGTGGGGAGTTGAACCCGCACCCGTCGGGAAATCAGGACGTGAATACTCAAACGGGTCGGAGGCGGCGCAGGAGCAAGGCTGTTGGGGTGGGGGG